TTTATTTGTTAATTTTTTAGAGATTGCATAAAAAATGCAAAGGAAGCATTTGAAAATCTGAATCAAGATTTAAACCCCATTAGATCTGCAAATTCACTTAATATTAAAACTTCACATTTCATGGGATTTTACAGAACAAGTTCATATCCCATATTCTTCACAACAAGTGGTATGTATATTATGTTTTTTATAAATAATTTTATGAAAGGTAAATAAAATTTAAAATAGATTGATTGGCAAATAGGGTAGTTCATTTTTTAAAGCCTTATATAAAGTTCAAGTATTTGGTATCTGTGAAGACTTTAGACCCAGACAGGTAATTAATTAAAATTTTTCAATTGATTTTTAAATTATATAATAAGTAATAAACATGATTATTATCCAGATTAATTATCTCATAGAAGAATCACAATTTGTTGGCAAAGGAGCTGATGCTGTTATTTCTTTAGTACATAATTATTTTGAATTGTATGGTCTTGGTGAAGAGGAAATAATCATTCATGCAGATAATTGTTCAGGACAAAATAAAAACAATGCAATGATTCAATATTTAGCATGGAGAGTGCTAACAGGTAAGCATAAAAGAATCACATATTCTTTTATGGTAGCTGGCCATACCAAATTTAGTCCTGATGGGTTTTTTGTATTGTTTAAATTGAGGCTTAAAAATTCTGAAGTTGATAATTTAGAGGATCTTGTTAATGTTATAGAGTCATCAACAAATGGGTATAATATTGCTCAGACAATTTATGATGAAAATGATGAAAGAAAAGTTTTTTTTACAGCTGGACTGAATATTTAAAAAAAAATTTTAAACCATTACCAAATATCTTAAAGTATCATCATTTTATTTTTAATCAAGAAGAACCAGGGATTGTATATGTTAAGAAAAGTATTGATGGAGAACTTATAGATATAGACATAACCAAAAATTTCACTATAGATGCTGTTTTAGAAAAAAAATATCCTTTAGGTTTAACCCTTGACAGAAAAAAGTATATACTTGAAAATGTCATTCAATATGTTCAAAATCCTGATAAAAAGGCTTTTTATAAATTTTAAAATTTTTATTTCTACATATTATTTTATTATTTATTTTTTATTATAGTTATTAAATAACCCCCGATTTTGTCATGAATATAGAAATGATACGCAATTTCCGAGCTTTTGGGCCAAAATCTTTTTTTTCGATTTTCTCAAAATCATGATTTTGACGTTTGCCCCCTTTCTATTGTCCATGCCCCAATTCTGGACAAAATTAAAATACATAAAATTTAATTTTTTTAATTGAATCTTCGCCTGGAAGAGGAGTAAACCCATCTTATTTATAAAGCAATTAAGAACCTGTATCTTTAATCTTTTGTGTGATCATCTTAATTGAAGACATTACAACAATGATCCTCGTAGTATTAATTAGGGTTTATCTGAAATCTAACAAGACACATTCAACCCAACTTTTTTCTAATAATTAAGATATTAAATAATATTTTCATGGATTTATAGGTATTATTGTAATAATTAGTATTAGAAATCACCACATTTAGTAGCGGTATAGTTATCTGCTAATTGTTGATAACTAAATTCCCAACATTAATATATATTACATTTGCCATTGACTAATAAATAACACACGCCACATTCCATTTCAACTAACCACTCGTATCTTACATTCATTACATTTCTCCAAAGTATAAGAGAAATAAATAAATATTTATTTTTTGAATAAACTTTTATCTAAACTTCCAAATTACATTCCCATTTTTTGAATTACTTTGGCAGCATATTAGTTAAATAGAACCTAATCTTTCTATTGGTATGTTTTTTATGTCCTGCAAATGCTTCTTAATAGATGTGAAAAAGTTTAATTTAAATGTATTAATAAGCGACTTTATTAAAGATACCAAATATTATTTGCTTATAGATGCACACCAACGATCCTAGGTAGAGAATATTTAAAATTGACGAATTTTATCGAGAGCATTAAATGTCGATCCATATATATACATATTGTTTGTACAACAGAGAAGTGGAAGTTTTGCAGTCCTCAAAAATTTTGTATTTTGCCAAGTCAATTAACAAACTTTCTTCAAGATGGTGTGTAATTATAACAGTAACAATGGTTTTATAACCAATAATAATAGCATTAGTATAAAGTTTTAAATGCGATAGATCTGATCATCTTTTTTACTTTTCATTCCATCATTCTTAGGCAACCAAAAAGAAACAACAACAACGTAAAATAGAAAGAGCTGATTGGAAAGAGGGCTTTAAAAAAAAGCAAGTCGGTGTAGCAGATATGACGATGTTGAGTAAGGTTAATAATGATGCAATTAACGAGAATCTAAAGAAACGATTTGGAAATCATGAAATTTATGTATGTAAGAGGAGGTAGCAAAGATGATTATTACTATTATTCGTTCCAAATAACATAATATTTATCATAACATTTAGACATATATTGGACATGTATTGATTAGTGTAAATCCTTTTAAAGATTGGGGAATATATACTAATGAAATATTGAAAAGTTATACTGGTAAAAATAGATTAGAGGTAATGAATTAATTAATCATTCATTTTTAGATTGATATTATTAATATTATATGTGAATAAAACAATTAATCAATGATGATTATGATAACTTTTCTAATCAAAGATGCCTCCACATGTTTATGCCGTTGCTGAATCTGCCTATTATAATATGAGAAATTATAAAGAAAATCAGTGTATTATTATCAGGTAAAATAATTATTAAAATCGTCGCAAAGATTTGTAATATAATTATTAATATTTATAACAATATTAGTGGAGAATCTGGTGCAGGAAAAACTGGTAAATCATTTATTAATAAACCGTCAATAATAATATTATTTACGAATCATTAATATTCATTATTATTTTAATCATCCATCAAAAATCAAGAGGCTGCAAAAAGGGTAATTTTCATCAATCAATCAATCCATCAATCCATCCATCCATTAAATTTTTCTTTTACAATTATCATTTTTTTTAGATTATGCAATATATTGCGACTGTTAGTGGTGGCGAATCTTCTTCAATACAAGAGATCAAAGATATGGTTCTTGCAACTAACCCTTTACTAGAAAGTTTTGGTTGCGCAAAAACTTTGAGAAATAATAATTCAAGTCGTCATGTAAATAATTATTATGATTATTGTTATTATCATGATAATTATATATTAAGCATATCTTAATTTGATTTATAGGGAAAATATTTGGAGATTCAATTTAATTCCCAAAATGAACCTGTTGGTGCTGTAATAACGAATTATTTATTAGAAAAAGTAGATATCAGATACAATATGTGGTTGAATCGAGCTGATAATAAAGCAATTAATTGGACTTTTTTTATTTTATTTATTTTAGGGACGTATAGTTGGTCAGATTGAAAATGAAAGAAACTTTCATATTTTTTATCAATTTACTAAAGCCGCTTCGTCTGATTACCAAGAAAATTTTGGAATTCAAGGACCTGAAAGTTATTTGTATACTAGTGCAAGTGGATGTTTGGACGTAGATGGAATCATTGACGAAGAAGATTATTCTGAAACTTTGGTAATAAACTTTTTGCACCTTATATTTATAATGGATGAAATAAAATAATAATAACAATTATTAATGATATTATTAATTTTTAGAAATCAATGGAAATTATTGGAATCACACAAGATGAACAAAATGATATATTTAGAATGTTATCTATAATTTTATGGTTAGGAAACGTACAATTTGAAGAAGGTGACGATGGAAATTCGGTGATTTCTGATGAAAATGGTAAAAAATGAAAATGTTGTTGTTGTTGTTGTCGTCGTCGTTGTATTTGTATTTACTAATATTGATTTATTTGCCTTTAAACTTTTATAGTTACAAATTTTATTGCTTTTCTAATGGAAGTTGAACCAGAGCTAATGCACAAAGTATTTGTCACCATTATTAAATCCATTAAATTTTGTTTTATAAAATTATAATTATTTTTATTTTTTACACGAATTGATATTATTTGCAGGTACTAACAAATAGAACAATCGAAACAACTCGTGGTGGTCGTCGTGGTTCTGTCTATGAAGTACCGCTTAATCCTGTTCAAGTAATATAAATTTATTATATTTCTTCCTAAATAAGATAAAATAATATGATTAACTGATGAATTTAATAAATTTATAATAATTAATTGGTAGGCTTCAGCTGTTAGAGATGCACTTGCAAAAGCAATTTATAATAATTTATTTGATTGGATAGTTGACCGTATAAATTCTGCACTTCGTTCACGACAAAAGACATCATATGTTATAGGAGTTTTAGATATTTACGGTTTCGAAATATTTGATGATAACAGTTTTGAACAATTGTGTATCAACTATGTCAACGAAAAGCTTCAACAGATCTTCATCGAATTGACATTGAAAGCTGAACAGGAGGAGTATGCAAGAGAAAAAATCAAATGGACGCCAATAGATTTCTTTAATAATAAGGTGGTGTGTGATTTGATTGAAGAGAAAAGACCACCTGGTATTTTTGCTGCTTTAAATGACGCTTGTGCCACTGCTCATGCTGATTCTGATGCTGCTGATAGCTCTTTTGTGCAACGTCTTGGTTTCTTATCAACGAATCAACATTTTGAATCACGCGGTAGTAAATTTCTAATCAAACATTATGCCGGCGACGTGCTTTACAATATACCTGGAATGACTGATAAAAACAAGGATCAATTGTTAAAGGATTTGTTGGAATTAATTGATTCCAGTCCAAATGAATTCTTGCACACTCTATTTCCAGATCAAGTTAACAAAGATAGCAAGAAACGTCCACCGACTGCTGGTGATAAAATCAAATTGTCTGCTAATGAGCTTGTTAAAAATCTTATGCAGTCTCAACCTTCCTACATCAGGACCATCAAACCTAATCAGAATAAAAGTCCATCAGAATACGATGAGAAAATGGTTTTACATCAAATCAAATACCTTGGACTCAATGAAAATATCAGAGTTCGTAGAGCTGGTTTTGCATATCGTCAAACCTTTGAAAAATTTTTGGACAGGTGGTGCTTTTATTTGATAAATAATATTTATGGCATGCGTGATTTTTATTTAAAATAAACAACTATTGTATATTATTACTAATTATAATAGATACATAATGTTATAATATGTTATAAATTTTATAGATTTTATTTGCTTTCAAAGAAAACTTCATATGCTTCCGAGTATATATGGAATAGTGATCATAAATCTGGTTGTGAAGTAGTTTTGAAAGAATGTGGAGTTACAAAAGGAGAGTGGCAAATGGGCGTAACAAAGATTTTCATAAGAAGTCCTGAAACGGTACTTGATAATTATAATATAATAATAGTAATAGTAATAACACCGTCAATTTCTAGTATTGATTCATTCATTCATCCAAAATAATTTCATTTTTATTTTCACAAAAAAAAAAAAGATTTGGGCGCTTGAACATCTTATTGATAGATATTGGCACAATATGGCAATAAGAATTCAACGAGCATATCGTAACTATGTTCGGTACAAAAACGAATGTGCGACACGTATACAAAGGTATTGGAGAAAAAACAAGGATCAGATAGTTTATGTACAATTACGCGATTATGGTCATCAAATTTTGGACGGTAGGAAGGAACGTAGACGCTTCAGTTTATTAAGTATGAGGAAATTCATGGGTGATTATTTATTGGTTGGTGTTGAATCTAATGCTGCTAGTGGTAATGATAATAGCGGCGGTGAAGCTATAAGGAATGCTTGTAATTTTAAATGTATGTTTTAAAATTTTTTTTTGGAATATATTTTTATTTTGAAAAAATAATATTTTTATTATTTATTTATTTAAAAAATGTATATTATATATATATATATATATTGTTATTAGCAAATGAGTCTGTTGTATTTAGTAATAGAATTCAATTACTTGTTTCACGTCTTGGTAGGTCGAGTAAACCAAATCCCAGATATCTAGTTTTGGTAAGATTGATTTTTTTTTAATTTTCTTGATAATTTATTGATTAATCAAACCGTAATATAATCAATCTATTAATCAACAACCCATAAGACAAACAAAGCAATTTACATAGTGGTATCGACAGTTGAAAAAAGATTATTGACACTAAACGTTGAAAGAACATTGCCACTAACCTCTATCGACAGAATAAGTTTATCAAATCTAAGAGATGACTGGGTGGTACTTCATATCAATAATCCAACAAAAGAACTTGGTGACGTGATACTTTCAACATATTTTAAAACTGAATTCATAACTCATCTACTCCAAAACTCCAACTCTAAACCTAAAGTGTCAATATCTTCTAATATTGAATATTTTAAAAAAATTGGTAAAACTGCTACGATAAAATTTATTAAAGATGAAGTTGTTAAAAAGGACGATGCCTACAAAAGTCATACAGTTTCAGTGTCTTCAGGTGAACCACCAAACTCATTATCAAATCCTCCTTGCTCTAGAAAAGAAACATTTAGCAGTGGTAAAAGTAGTAAAGGCGGTGGTAAAAGTAAAATTAATAAGAAGCCCACAGCCACTACCACTAATGCTGCTAGACCAATTATCACTTCTTCTACTGCTGCAAAAAGAAGAGCTTCAACAGCATCAACAAAATCAACATCATCAATACAAAATAAAAATAAACCATCATCATCTATTTCATCATCATCATCAAGACTTCCACCACCCCCACCACCTCCATCCCATCATCCTAAACCAGATCAGCCACCCGCCAACCCAACTTACAAAGCAATTTATGAATTCAATACAGAGGATGAAGGCGAACTACCATTTAAGATTGATGATGTGTTAGAAATACTAGAGAAAGCCGATAATGGTTGGTGGCTTGCAATAAAAGATGGTGAAAAAGGTTGGGTACCAAGTAATTATTTGGAGGAAATTAAAATATCCTCTAAACCACCTCCGCCTCTTCCACTACCTGCCAGACGTAAACAACCGCCAACCCCTTCTTCTTCAACTACTGCTAAAAATAATAACGACGACGATGGTGAGACAACAACGGAGAATAAAACACGGAAACCTTTTCAAAATAAAAGCAGTAGTGGTGGTAATCAACAACCAATTGCTGTTATGCCGGGAATGATGCCTATGAGTAGTGATGGTGTGCCTCCATGGAAAGCTGCATTGGCTGCTAAAAAAGCAGCTTCTAAGGTACAATGCTAATACTAATATTAATATTAACTAGTAAATAATGATAATAATAATATTATTATTGTTGTTGTTGTTAGACTTCAGAGGATGCAAATGGTGAAATCGAATCAGCAAAACCAGCTGCACCACCAAGGCCTGGAGCTGGTTCAGGTAAAAACTTTATTTTAGGAAAAAAAAAATATATAATACAAAAAGCCCGGGAAATGATATTAAATTTAATCATTCATTCATTCATTCATTCCGAAAGCGAATCGCAAATCATCATATGGCGTAACACCTAAACCAATAATTCCCAAAAAATCAACATCCAGTGATAAACCAGCAGCACCACCAAGACCAAAGGTAATAAATTTTAAATTTAAATAATAAATCAATTGATTGATTGTTGGTTAATTATAATAACTAATAAATTTGGCGCCTTGATTTCCTTTCTTTTTAAATTGATTAGCCTTCTGCACCACCAAGACCTGGAGCTCAAAATCTTGCTGAAATTGTAAATATTTTTTTTCCTTTCTTTTATGCATCATTTTATAGTTTAATCTAATCTTTTTGCAAAACTCTTCTAGCTTAATAAACGTAGAGCACATTCAACTGCAGAAGAAGATGAGGAGGAGGAGGAGGATGATGAATGGAATTAGCAACAATAATTATGTTATTTATTTATTTTAAATTTTTTTTTTTGTAATTTTTATTTATTAATTAATTTTATTAATTTATTTTAAAAAATCATCCATTCATTCAAATTAATTGTTGAAAAGTATTATTAAAAAATTTTTTCATGAAATCAAACAATCAATTAATAAATTATCTTTTATTTTGTTTTAATTTATGCAATTTTCTTGACACTGATTTATGTTTTCGCTTATATTCAAGTGTTAGATTATGTGAATTTTCTTGCCAATTTGTTATTACATCTTCACTAAATCATTACAACATCGATTAAAATAATACAAGTTGTTGGTTAATGTTAATATTAATTATCGCTAGTATTTATAATAATGATGATATACATTTAGAAATTATAAAACTTACACTTTGGATGTTCTCATAAATAATTTTAAATCTCTATAATGTGATCTTTAAAAAAAAAATTATTATTTAAATAAATAAATAAATAAATAAAAAAATACTTTGTTAATTAATTAAAAACCTTTTTGCTAATTCTTGGTCATCAAAATGAAAAAAAAATAAAGGTGCTGATGATAAAGATCTTGAATTATAATTATAACTTGTGGAAGATAATGAATTATAATTATCATCATTATTATCAGATGTAAAAATTTTTTTTTCGTCAATCTACAAAACGAATAAATAATATAAATATTTAAATTGAAAATTAATGATTTTTTCTTAGAAACAACTATTTACTCACTTTTGAAAAAAAATCTTTTTTTATGTTATCTTTTACTGTTTCTTCTACTACTATTTCTTCTTCGTCCATCATAATATCTCCCTCTCCCTCTAATTCATCATCATCATCACCATCATCATCATCATGTTCAAATAATGAAAATGAATATTCTACATAAATATAACTTTATAAAAGTAAGTAATTTGTAAAATAATATATATATATTATTTTGTTATAATTACAACTATCAACAATAAATAATCTAATCTATTAACCTGATTTATTATTTGGTGTAAATAATCCTTTTAAATCTGTGTTAATCTCTACCTTTACATCTTTAGATACTTTTGGCAATACACCTTTTGTCTCCATACCTTAAATTAATATTAATATTAATAATAATAATATTTATATTTAAAAAAAGGGCACACCCCAAAACTATATAAGCAATCACATGACTTTTAAATTTAAATTGACACCTGCAAAATTTCTAATTCGTCAACCCTGTAATAATTAAATGAAGGATGAATTTATGTTGCTCAACGTGCCATTTAAAATAAGACACTTATAAAAATTTCGAATCATTGATGCCATCAGATCGCTTACCATCAATAACCTCGAATATTGACATCTCTATAATTTTTTTCAGATAAATCACCATCATCAAAAGATACATGACAAATTTCTTCTGTATCTCCAACCTCTACAGATTGTTGAGTTTCTTGAACAGAATTATATCTTTCAACTACTTTTCAAGATCATACTCTTATATTAAGGCAAGAATGACTTTTCCACATTCTCTTGTATTGGATTAGCAAATAAGTAATGATAAAAAAATCTCCCTGATAAAACTATTAATACATGTTGCAGCATGAAAAATATACCTAATGCGAATCGCTGGAGTTACAGCAGCAAAGTGTATAGAATAGGTGATTTGTTCTCATCAACAGAAAAAAATTTATTTCAGACTAGCTATTGAGTATGGATTGAGGTTCTCACCGGAAAGGTGCCAATACCACCAATGAAATCAGCTCTAAAGAAAATACGGCTATTGAGTGGTGCACGTACATGGGGTTGCTAATCCATTCTACTCAAAACCTAAATTGTTGGTGGTTGCTGTAAAAAAACCATATTGTATAAACTATTTGCTGAAAGTAGATGGAACAGATGGTGCAAATCTTTTTTTTAAAAAGTAATTGCTAGTTTATTCTCCCTTATTTATTTTATATATTCATTGATATATATTAAAATTTGAAAACAAAGGAAGCTTCTAAGACTGGACTTTTTTCAGAGAACCGAATGACTAGTTTTTAAACGTGGTCTCGAAACCGGTCAAAGTCTGGTTAAGTGTCATATAATAAAAATAACCATGAATTTTTATACATCCAAACCTAAAATGTGATTATTTATATACAAAATGGTCGCGCAATCGTTTTTTGATGAAATTTTGATTGCAACCATCAAAAGTTGCGGTGTATAAAACAATTTTTTTCCGCGTTATTTATTAATATTGAGTTTTAATTGTGTGCTAAAAAAATCATTTGAAATATTTTCGGTTTGTAGCCAATAAAAACTACAAATTATATTTAGGAAGAAATTCTCCTAAAAACAGTCAGTTAGTTCTAATACTCGCAGCAGAATAACACCGAAAGTTAGTTAACGTAATAATGATTAATTAATTAATTAATAATGGTGAACCATCAGTTAATGATAATAATGAATCATTGAATAATAATTATTATAATAGTAGTATTAATAGCAATAATAATGTTAATAGTCATTATCAGTTAACGATAATGATAGTAACTTAGTAATAGTGAACCATTAAATACATAAATCATAGTAACTGTAATAACAATAACAATAATAATAATAATGGAGTAATGATAGACAATAATAATAATGGTGAACTATTTGATTATAGTAATTTTAACCGGCTAGGAATTTTTGGCTGACATCCACTAAATAAAATTATAAATAAACGAATATAGATTAGATAAGAGCTTCACGCAAACTACTATCGTTACAATATTTACAATTTGTATCATATTTTCCAGGAATCTTCCATCGCCTTTATTAAGTGCCCGTACAATTTTTCGAGCAGAATTATTATTATTTGTCATGCTTAATAAATTAACAAACAATTTCGATTTGCGATTTTTGATTTCAACCAATGCTATGATCGGAAACTAGTTTATGATGTGATGGGTTTAGTTTAGGCTTGGTATATATTCTTTGAAACTGTTTAAGGAATTCAAAAGGGTTTAGTATTAGGGCTACAGCATTGATTTTCGATTTCGATTTGCTAATACTAATACTAATACTAAGGGTATTTCAATTTCGAAAACTAGTTATTTTTTCGATTTTCTCTATTGAATTTCGCCACATGATTGAATCACTTGTTAAATTATAGTTATTGGCAGAAGAGAAATTAATTTAAAGGACTAAAACCGAAATCGAAATTACATTCGAAAAGTAAAAATAAATCCAAATTAACATAGAATTCTAGAAATTGCATTTTTTCTTCTCTAGATACTTTCGAACAAGGCAAATGAACATAGAAATTCGATATTGAACGAATTTCGTCATGTATGAGTCCATATTAAATTGCACCACCCTTTTGAATCTGACAAATAAAGATTCCGAGTTGTAAAATCATTAGTTTAAGAGCTCAGAAGCAAAATATTTTTATAATGATTTCAATTTTGAAAATTAATGTCATTTTTTCGAAAGTTTCTTAATTGAACTTCGCACCACATCCAGAAATATCGATCTTTCTTATTGTTAACATTATTATATTAATATATTTATTTATTTTATCAAGCCATTTATTTTATCATAATTTAATTTTTATTTGTTATTTTATGTAGCATAGGATATTTTTCGCAAATTCACAATTATTACATTACTTACGTAAGTTTACAAAGTAGAAGTCCTCTCTAATGAAACAATAAAAATATAACAAATTTCAACTTGGAAACTAATCAAATCATACCAAAACTATTTGCAATTCAGTTTGATCCTCATAACTATAGATGAGCCTAAATTAACACATTTTGACGATGCGATGTCTAAATATAAATTAATTAGACAATTTAACAATACACAAATCGGTTATTTTTTGTGAAAATTTGCAAACTTGATTAAACCGTGTCAATATTCCTTGAATATCGCAGCTATTTATATTTTATTTAGACCATTACTTTAGACATCCTAAAAACAATTTGATTAGATAAATAACCTATTATTTCATTCTCCCAGTGACATAATGAAATCTGTTACACTAAGAAAGGGACTGAACCCAAAATTTGGAATTAAGATCGTTCAAAAATTCTGAATCTGGTTTCAATCCGGTTTTGTAATCTAGAATCCGGATTAAATCCGGATTATATATATATATATTAATATTGTATATACAAATTTGGAAACCATCTGCAGATTCGTATAACGTAATACCTGTCAATTCCATTTTTGTTATAATTAATTTCTACTAATAAAAAATTTATATAAAGCATAATAATATTTCCAATAATAAAAAATGTTAAAAATTTAATAAAAAATATAAAAAATATGTCGAACGGAGGAGAAATTAAGCCAACTGTCCGTGAAAGGTATTATAATAATTATAATAATTATCAAATATTTTTATAAAAGTATTTATTTATTATCATAATAGAGGTTATATGCCCATTGAAAACTATGGAATGGTTGGAAATCTTCGAACAATAGCATTATGTAGCACTGATGGATCTATTGATTTCTTTTGTTATCCAAAATTTGATAGCCCTTCAATTTTTGCTAGAATCTTGGATAGCAAGAAAGGCGGTGAGTATTCATTTATTCATTTCTTCGATAAAACATATGACGATCTTTAGATGATCATGCGCAATAATAAATATACCATACACGCCCTCTCTTCTTATATAATAAATAGGTCATTTCTCAATTGTACAAAGTAAATACTCAAGCGTTAAACAACAATACTTACCCAATTCGAATATTTTGTCAACAAGATTTCTTGATGAAGAAGGAGTGTCTGAAATCATTGATTATATGCATATTCCAGAAAAAAGTCATGGAAATTCTACTCATAAGCCATTATTGCCTTGGTTAGTTCGTAGTTTGACTGCTGTACGTGCTGAAGTTGATTTTCATGTTGAATTGTTTCCAGCATTTAATTATGCACTTGATCCACATACAATAGAAATATTAGATAATAAGATAGATTCATATACTGCTTCTAATACTGTTACCACCATTACTGATGAAAATAATTCTTATGTAGGAGACAAAAAAGTCAGATTTAATTCTGAAAATTTTTGTTTAGAGTTGAGATATGTTATTGGAAATAAAGGATGTGTTAATAATGAATTACCAACAATTAATTTTGAATTAGTTGATAATAAATATGATGACAATGACAATGGGGTAAGTGGTGGTGGTAGTGGTGTAGTTATGGATTTTCGTTTAAAAGAAGATCAAGAAGTTATTTTTATTTTACGTGAAGTTCCCAATTTTTCAAAAAGTCAAGATCAAGAAGCAGAACAAAAGTTAAAATTTAAATTAATAGATCCACCTTTAAGTTATGGATTAATGAAATCATTGTATAAAATTACTTTAAGCTATTGGCAAAATTGGATTGGTCAATCAACATATAAAGGTAGATGGAGAGAACATGTTCATAGAAGTGCATTAGCATTGAAATTGTTGACTTATGAACCAGTAAGTTTATATTATATAGTGTAAATATTTATATTTTTACAAATTAATCACCAAGTATATTAATATTTTTACTTTATATATAAAAAGACTGGAGCAGTTGTTGCATCACCTACATTTGGTCTCCCTGAAGGTTTTTTTTACAATTTTTATTAATCAACCAAGTTATTCAAATTAATGATTATTATATATTGTAAAAATATAGCAATTGGAGGACCAAGAAATTGGGATTATAGATATACATGGATTAGAGATTCAGCATTTACATTTTATGCATTGATGAGATTAGGAATGACAGAAGAGGCTAAATCTTATATGAAATTTATGGAGGAAAGATGTCATAATTTGGATGATAACAAGTCATTAAATATAATGTATAGTATAGATGGAGAGGAAAAATTGACAGAGATTGAATTGAATCATTTAGATGGATATCGTTCATCCAAACCAGTACGGATAGGTAATGGAGCATATGATCATTTACAACTGGATATTTATGGAGAATTTATGGATGCAATGTATCTTTATAATAAATATGGCAGTCCAATTGGTTATGATATGTGGGTTACTGTAAGACGATTGGTCAATTTTGTGTGTTCTAATTGGGACCAAGAAGATATGAGTATTTGGGAAGTTAGAGGTCAAAAACAAAATTTTACTTATAGCAAAATTATGTGCTGGGTTGCAGTTGACAGGGGGTTGAGATTAGCAGAGAAAAGAATGTTTCCATGCCCAGATCGTAATAAATGGTTAGATGTTAGAGATAAAATATATGAAGAGGTTATGACAAAAGCCTGGAATCCAGAAAGGAAAATATTTACACAATCATATGAATCAAAGGACGATTTGGATTCAAGTGTATTGATTATGCCTTTAGTTTTCTTTATTAGTCCAAATGATCCAAGATTTCTAAGTACAGTTGAACAAATTTTATTACCACCCCAATATGGTATTTGGATTTTATATATATGTGCATGTGTGTAAATATATGATTATCGATTAATGTAATTTTTTATAGGAGGTTTATTGGCAAATAATCTTGTATATAGATATAATCATGAGAAAACAGATGATGGTAAATTTTTTTAAATAAATTTATATGAATAAAAATTAAAGTTAAATTAAAATTAAACTTGATTTTTTTTTTAGGATTGGAGGGAAAAGAAGGGTCATTTTCAATGTGTACATTTTGGTTAGTTGAAGCATTGACAAGAGGAGGAAAATATGAAAAGAAATTATTGGAGAAAGCAGAACTTTTATTTGAACAAATGATCAGTTATAGTAATCATCTAGGATTGTATAGTGAAGAGATTGCTGTATCTGGTGAATCACTGGGCAATTTTCCTCAGGCATTTACACACATTGCTTTTATTAGTGGTAAGAGCATTAATTAATTGATCTAATTGGTGAATTGATATTGATTAGTAGAACTGATTATTAATTTATAATGATTTTTTTGTAGCTGCATTCAATTTGGACAGAGTTTTAAATGAAAAAAGAAAATAATAAAAATAATTAAATTAAGAACTTAAAGGAATTATTTATTAATGATGATGTTTGTTATTGATCGTTAAACTTGCAATTGAATTTGGTATTGAGCACACCCAAATATTATTATTACTATCATTATTACTATCATGATTATCATCACCAATAATTATTCCATTTTCACTAGTTGCACCAAAACAATTATTATAAACAATGTTATTGTCACCACCATCACCTTTTTCTTTGTCATTATTAATATCATCCAATTCATCTGATTGATATTTAAATATCATTTTCTTAATTTCATTTTTTTCTTTTGTCAATACAAATTTTTTTTCATATTCATTATTTAAAATTGATTTTCTTTGATTTTTTTTAACATAAAAAAACTAAATAAAAAAAAGGAAATTAATCAATTATAAAAAAAAAAATGAAAAAATATAAAAATAAACAAACTTACTTTAACATATTGTCCAACTTTTAAATCTTTTATAGTATCGATAGCCATATTTTCTTTTGCAGGATCTCCACTTAAAATCTTTTTAATCTCAATGGATTTCTCATTCTATTTCATAAATAAACAAATAATATTATATCAAATGAATAAAAAATATCTCCATTAAATTTTCCTAAGAGAAAAATAATAATAAATAATTACTTGGAATACATTGTCATAAATTCCTAAATAAAAATCAGTTTCTTTTGAATATTTTTTATCATTATCATCATAATTTGATTGTTGTAGGTTTTGTAAAAACAATTTTGTAGGATTTTTTCCATTCAATTCCAAAATTATATTGCCTCTGCATCTGTATTAAATAGCACATATTTAATTATTAGTGTGTGTATATATATATATACACAGTATGATGATTTATTTAGTAATTATTTAGCACCTTGTTATTTTTAAATGTTCACCTATTGGACATAATGATTGATGTAAAATATCAAGTTGAGATTTTTTATTTACTGGTAAAGAAGAAGTGCTTGTACTTGTAGTTATTGCTAATCCAACAAGCCCTCTTGACAATATATTATTATTATAAAATATAGTAAACGGCCTTCCATTTACAAATGGTGTGGAACTTCTATTTGACATTTTAATTGAGTGAGTGGATGTATGAATGCGATTTATTTGATAAGTCATTAATCAATCTTTTCTTACCCAATGATTCCTAGCTATTCTCAACTAGACTTTATAAATTAATCAAAATCTAACAACAATATCAATAAAATAATAATAATCAAATTTACCTTTTTACTATTAGGAAAGTGATGATCCAATGATTCAAAGAAATAATAAGGTTCAGAATCTGATATTAGAAGGAAAAAATCTGGACTTTTTTATTGTATGTGAATAAAATTAAAAATATATTATACAAATAATATAAATTAATAGTTATATATTAATTCAAATCAATCAATAAACTTAATTAATAAATTATACCTTGAATCAGTTGCTTGCTTCAGAGACTTCAATTCATCAGGAAGTTCAAATTTATTTGGAATTGTGGAGATTGATTGGAACATGTTTAAATCAAACAATTTTGTCTCTAATTCCTTTTCAATCTTTAATTCTTCAGGATCAAACCATCTTCCAATGGATTTGGTTTTAAATCGAGGTTTTGGCAAATAATAATCATTATTATTACTATTACTATCTGAAAAGCCAATTATTTTACTATTATCATTATTTTCAATTCTTCCTTCTTCCCCTATACTTTTTCTTTTTCTTTCCATAGTGATATACATTGCTAATCCATTTTTCCAATTAAAATTGCCATCATGCGAAGATGATGTTAATATTTTATCAACAACACATCCAATTAAAATCCCAGGTTTAATTTTTGATGAATAAAGATAGTTAGGGATCAATTCAAGTTCCTTTGAATCATAATTTTTTGAGGCTAAAACTACTACTACATTTGAATCATAATTATTATCATCTGATGTCAATGAAGGAGATAATGAATCAATAATTAAGTCAAGTGCTTTAATAGCTGATGGATTCTGTGAGTACAAAAATGTAGAAAATCCCTTCCATCTAATAAATAAATTTTTTGACTTTTTAAAGATTGAAAATTTATTAAAATTATTCATAATTATTAGGTTTCACAAAAAAATTTATTGACTTATGTATTAAATATGGTGCAAATCACCTAGTCACACAATTTACTACGCCACAACGACAATAATGCAAAATTTCTTTTTTTGGAAGCTTTTTGACTATCAAAACGTTAGTTTAAATTGAATGGCCTAACAAAAATTTTGACTTGTTTCTGTTGTCCCATATAAAATAATAGTTTCACTGCGGTTGTAGGTTTATCTTTGCTGGTGTTGTTGATGTCTTGAACGCTTTAATCTTCCACTCATCTTTGTTTTGATTTTAAAGTGTAGAGGTCGAATTTGTTGATCATTATTACACTTTCGTTGACTTTTTAAAATCTTCAGATCAGGTCATATCCGGTGTTTGAAGGTAAGTTACCTTACAAACAAATTTTTGTATTAAATAACAACAAATAAAATAGAAATACAAACAACACATTGGTTAATTATTTTAAAACAATGAATGGATGAACAATTTGAAAATAGATCTCTAGATAAAGAAAAAAAATTATAATTTCTATTTTTGCCATTCAGCAAGACAAATTAAAAGTAACATTCATTCCATTAAAGAAATATATTTATTTTCTATTAAAATTATCAAATAAACTTTACTTTTAGATGTAAAATCAAGCATAGATTATATTGTTTAAAATTCTATCATCCAGCAATCATCAATACCCATAAAGCTTTATTAGAGGCAAATCTTTAATGTAGCAATTTATTACTAACGAAGGAATCTATTTTTTAATATATAACTTTATGAAAATTGTAAAGGTAAATGTAGAGCAATGTTTATTTATATTATCAAAAAATTTGATCCCATTAATTCATGAAGTTTATTTAAGATAATGACTTTTTTATATATTAATTTACAAAATCATTTGTTTATATTGCAATCTAAGAAAGACTTAACAGGTAGATCCAAAGTATGGCATTTTTATCAATTAGAAAATTGACATCTTCATTTTAAATATTTATAATACTTCATTTAATAGATATGTATAGTCATGTTGTCAAAATTAAAGAGACAATTGGAGTTGTGTGTGTGTGACGCATTGACGCAAGGTGCAATTCGTGACCATGACTCAATTCGTGATCATGACCCAATTCGTGACGCAGGACGCAGTTCGTGACGCAAGATGCAATTCGTAACGCAAGATACAATTCATGATGCATGATGTAATTAATGCAATTAGTGGCTCAATTTATTAAGGACTTATGCACATACACATTAACATTACAAGAAAATTTGGTTGTCTACATGTTAATTACATGTAATACTGACAGGTGTAAATTATTATGGTTCATCAAGGAATCTGTCCATTTATCAATGAAAAACATACATACTCTATAACAAATCGAGACACAAGTACTTGATGCAACACATTTCCTAACTAATTTAGAGGAAATTGAAGATGGTGTTTTATTATCAGATGATGTATCTCCTCAACATATTAGAATATTTGTAGGTGAAGAATTAAGGCGTGTGTTACAATTTGGGGTATATGTAAATATTTCTGATCAAATATTTGCTGACAGTTTTTTAAATTTAGAAGAAAATGATAATGGTAATGAAAATGTTGGAAATTATATTGAGATTCAAGTTTTGATGTGAGTCAATTAGTAGATAACCTATTGAACAATCAGTGAGTTTTAATGACATGAAAATTTTTATATAAATATTTTGTTACTAATTCATGTGTTATGAATTACAAATTGTGTTTTGAGTCATGATTGCATCCTGCGTCACAAATTGCGTCTTGAGTCAGTTGCATTCAGTTCACATATATATTATTATTTGAGTGCGATGATTTATTTATTTATAGTGGACGGATATACATAGACGTGCTTCACATATGTTGTATTATATCATTTCCTATAAACATTTATTTAACTTTTACATCAAATAGAAATGGCTGCTGGTAATAGGACCCCGCAAACTTCATAGATAAGTTACTGTCGCAGCTGGGTCAAATTCATATATAAATTAAATTTTTTGTCAATAATTATAATAGGGTCAAATTATTTAAAAATTTTACAAATGTTAGGGCCAATCTGTGGGTCAAATTATTATATTAAAAAGGTTGGTTAGGTTTAATAGGGTCAAATCTATTAGTAGTCAACGATTTAGGGATCCAAAAATTTTGTTTTTCTTCATTCAAAAAACAAAACAATACTTAAATATATAGTAAATCTTTTATATTAAAAAAAATTATTAAAATATATAAATTATAAAAATCAGTGAATTATTATAATCGGTTGTTCAGTTAAGTCAATTGATTGGTAAAATTTAATTTCATTACAGTAGACAGTTTCAAAATTTTTAATGTTAGTATTATGGGTCAAATTATGTTCTTTTTTCTAATGTTATTGCAAACCTTAGGGTCAAGTTATATATTAAACTTAAATTGGTCCGGGTCAAATCATATAACAAACAGGAATTTTTGTTACTGACCTATCTGTGAAGTTTGCGGGGTTCTCTGCTACTGTTGCTTTTACTGCTAATGCTATTATCTCTAATATAAATTTTGATTTTCTATAAATTTTTCTAATTTGGTAAAAGCCCCAACATTTTATAATAACATCATGCTTATTCACATGGCTTTTATTTATGATATTGGATTAAGAAAATCTGTCAAAAACAAAAGCAGAGGAATAAACAAAACTTCGGAAATTGAAGATAATGACAAAATAACTTTTTGATTTTATTTATATTTGGTGGTTTGTGGTCATTATGAAAGTATTGAATTAAATTTCATGATTCAAATGTGATGGCAGTTCTGGATTGATTAAAGAATTATATCTGAAAGTACATACCCCTTCAAACTTTTATAATTTATTCATACTTTACTTGTTATATATTTCATTTGTTCACATATTTTGTCATGCTTATTTATATCATGTAGCTAGTTCAAGTTTCATTCCTTTTCATACATGAATATCAATGATAAAATCTGTCAAAAGCGATTTCAATAATATAGGTTTTCCTGAATTTCACGGATAAATTTATTCAAAATGTGTAAAAGGATTTAACAATTAAAAAAATTCTTTCTTAAATAAACAACAAGCTTTGGCTTGAGAAACCAATTCAACATGAGAAATCCTTATACAAATCAAAAACGCAAACCATTTGCTTACTTGGTCTGATCCACTCAATTTATTTTACCACTATCAATTATTTCACTCTCCTGTCCATAGTAGTAGATGTTGTGAAAACATTCTAGGATGCTAGTACTAGATATTTTTTAGCATTCAGGGGCCAGTAAAATCAGATTAATTAATTCTGTGTTACTATTACATAAGAAATAAGAAATAAATTTTTTTTTGATTTTTTTTTCTTTTTTTCTGTCTTTCATAGTAATTAAATAATAATTTAATAATTTAATTAATAAAATAAATTTAGATATTAGAATTGGCTTAATTAAAATACAGCCAATCTCTTCACTTTTCTTTTTTTGTATTTTTTTGGACAACTGTAAACGGATTAAAAAACTATTGATCTTCCACCATGTCATCTTCGACAACAACTTTTGAAAACTTCCCTGCCGTCACTACTACTACCACTTCGACTGATTGCATTGATGAGGGTGAATTTTTGACTAAACCTAATACTATCTCTCATTCTCACTCTCAACAACAGGAATTTGACGCTTTTTCTAACAGTAATACTGAAGTGGAACATCAACAGCAACGACAGATTAAAACAGAAATTCTTAATGTTAGCTCATCAGCTTACGAAACTCATTTTCCTTCACTCTCAACTTCTTCAGCTTCTTCCTTCTCTAAATCGTCATCTATTTGGGTTAATCGTTCTACTACTAGTGCTAATAATAACACTGGATCTGATTTCGCTTATGATGTTTCTGAAAATAATAATAATTCAATTAATAACAACAAAAAATCAAATAATAATATCGTCACCCAAGTTCTTGATTTGCCTGCCTCTCAACAATTACAAAAAAAAGAATTTGGCAACAAGACTACAACCGTTGCAATTGTTAAACGCGTAAAAGAAAAAACCAATACAAATATTGATGTTTCAACTGGACAAAAAACTGGTACTACTACTTTTTTGATTAAAGGAAAAATTGAAGATGTTACGAGGGCTAAATTTGAATTATTAGATAATTTGGCTATCAAGGTTAACATTAATTTGATTTGATTTGATTTGATTTCAATCTTTCAATTAAATTAAATTCTAATTTAATTTTATTTAACTTAACATAATTAGAAAGAAGATTCAGTTAAAGTTCCAATATTTGCAATATATCATTTAAAAAACAAACAAAATCAGGTGTTATCAACAATTATAAATAAAACTGGTGTTAGAATTTATCTTCCTTCTATCAAATCAACAACTGAAAACTTTTCTACTGATCCAAATAACAATAATCATATTAATCGCAGTAATAATAATGGCAATAGCAATGTTAATATAGATGGTAGTAGTAGTAATGAAGTAGAAGAGACAACAGTTGATGTTAGAATTGAGGGAAATGAAAATGGTGTAGAAACTGCAAAAGGTGAATTGGAAACTTTTGTTAGTTCATTGGTAATTTTCAAATTATTATTATTGTATTCTCTTTATTATTATATTTTCTCATTCCTATTATTATATATTCTCATTATTTATTTATTATTTTAAAAATATTTAGAGAGAAGAAACTATCAAAGTTCCAATATCTTCTCTTCGGCATATTATTGGGTCTGGTGGTATGACTATACAATCAATCAGAAATAAGTCTGGTGTTAGAATTCCTAATTTTCCTCGTAAAGATGCCCAAATTGAACAAAAAAGTGAACTTGATTATGATGAAGAAGAAGAAAATATTGATTTAAAGATTGATGGTGATGTGAATGGTATTGAAATTGCTAAAGCTGAAATTAAAGCTATTATTGATACTAAGGTAAAGAAAGGACTATTTAAATTTAATTATCAGCAACAATAAATATAATATAATAATAGTAATAACAATATTATTAAATGCAGGCTTCCAAAAGAACTCATCGTATAACACATATTGAACAACATTATTATCAACTGATTGCTGGTGCTCATAATCAACGTCTTAAACAAATTGCCACTGAAACTGGTGCTAGAATTGATATCCCTTTCTCACATGGAAGTGGTGGCGTATCAACGACTTCTGAAATTAATGCTACTACAACTGATTCTAATTCACAAAAAAATTGTATTACTATTATTGGTGATAAAGATGCTGTTAAGAAAGCAACTGAAATGATTGAGGAGATATATGATGAATTATCAAGCACAACTTGTCTAGCTACTATTGATATTCCTAAACGCCAACACAAAATATTCTTGAGTCATAAAGGTGCATTTCTTCAAGAAGTTTTTGAGACCACCGGTTGTTTTGTTGATGTTCCTTCTATGTCTGATCCATCTGAAAAAATCTCAATACGTGGTCCTCAAGAAAAATTTTCTGATGTTTTCAAACTTTTATATGACAAAGCAAATTCCATTACGATAAAATCTCTTGATGTTACTAAAATTCACAAATTTAATAATAACGATAGTGTAGATAATCCTTTGGAATACATCAAAAACCTTTATAAATATTTCATAAACAGAAACAAATTAAAAATAATCGAATCAGAGACTGAGGTTTATATTGCTATACCCCAAGCACCATCTGAATTAGATAAAGATAAAATTTTATATTTTGAAGGAAAAGTAGCTGCTAATGTGGAAAAAGCAAAAAAAGATGTCACTGAACTTATTAAAAATTTGCCACCAGCTAATTTTACCACTGTAAATATTGAATCTCATCTTCACCGTCATATCATTGGCCGTAAAGGTCAAAATTTACAACGTGTCAAGGAAACTTATGGTGTTGAGATAATTGTTCCTGATGAAAAAGAAGAAAGTTCAAATATACTGATTGTTTATGAAGGAGCAGTTGGTGTAGATGGTAATGCCATTGCTGTAGATAATAATGCTATGAATGATGTTTTAGTAAAGGTTAAAACAGAATTAAAGAAAGCTGGTCAAGATGCTGTAAGTAAAATTATTATTATATGAAAATAATCTTATTCTATATTTATTTATTCATATTTTTTATTTATTCATATTTTTTTATTTATTTATTAATTTTATATACATCATTTTATTGCATGTAGTCTGAATTTTCAACAAAAACACTTAATATTCCTGTACGATTTCATCGAAATATTATTGGACCCAGAGGTGCTACATTGAATAGTATTACTGGAGGAATTGATTCTCCTGTTTCTGTCAAATTTGGTTTGCACAGAACAGGTGCTGCTGAACGATCGGCAAATGCTGAAGGTAAAAGATTTAATAATTTACCAGTTTCGTCAGATGATCTTGTTGTGATTAAAGGTCCTACTGAAGAGGTAGAAAGGGTTGTCAGAGAAATCAATAAAGTTGTTCAGGCAAAAAATTTGGAAGAAGTACATATTTATTATATTTATCTTATAAAAAATATCAAATGAGTGAATTAATATTAATATATACATATCATATATCATCCATCCATTCATTCATTTATTTATAAACAGCCTGTGAATCCCCATACAATTAATTTCACTTTACCTGCAAAATATTTAGCTCATATAATTGGTAAAGGTGGTTTGCACATTACTCGTTTGAAAGAATCTTTTAATGTTAAAATTGATATTGATGTTGAAGGTGGTGGTGGTGGTGGGTCTAAAAGTGGTATTAGCAGTGGCAATGATGATAATAATAATAACAACAACAACAATAATAAGAACAACACAAATTCCAAGGATACGATCAAGATTACAATTAATGGTGCTAAAGATAATGTTGAACAAGCAAAAGCAAAAATATTGAGCCTTGTAGATAAATTACAAGATCCAGTAATTGAAACTTTGAAAATACCCATGGAATATCATAAATTATTAATTGGACCAAAAGGTAGATATGTTAGAAAATTAGAAGAAAAATGTAATGTACAGATCAGATTTCCAAAGTCAAAAGAATTTGTTACTGCTAGCAATAATGGTAGTAATGGTGATGATGCTAATAATAGTAGTAATAGTGGCAGTATTGTTGATACACAAAAACCTGATGAAGTTATTATTAGAGGCAAGAAAAAAGGGATTGATGAAGCTAAGGCTGAATTGTTGGAATTGTTGGATTATGAGAAAGAAAATAATAATTCTATTACGTTTACTATTCCTGCCAAATATCTTCCTCACATAGTTGGTCGTAATGGTTCAAGAATTTCTGAAATAAGAGATAATACTTCTACTCGTATTGATTTTGAAAAACAAGAGATTGATAATGATAGCAGTAATACTGACAATAGTGAAAAGGCTAATATTGATAGTAATAATAATGCTAATATCAACAAAAATAATGTTAATAATCAACAGCAGCAGGAACAGAAATTAGCAAATGTTGCTATTTATGGAGTAAAATCTAATATCAATAAAGCAAAATTACAAATTTTAGGAATTGTTAATGAGCTTGAAAATCAAGTAATTGTAAAAATAAAGATTGATCATCAATATCACAAGTATTTGATTGGTCCTGGTGGTAATCATATACGTGAGATTGTTGCTAGAGCTGGTGGTTCTGATGAACGAAACTTGGCTAGTGTTGTAAAATTTCCTTATTTTGGTGATAATAGTGATGAGGTAACCCTTAAAGGTGATAAGGTACTTGTGGAAAGTGTTAAAACTGAATTGGAAAGATTGGTTGAAGAGCAGGTAAAAAATACATATTTGTATTATGTATTTATATATGTGATTTATGTAATTTATTTAGCAAATTATATAAAATTACAAATAATTATATATCTTTTTAAAAATAGAAAAATATTCCAGTTGATTATATTCATATTCCACCTTCACAATATTCCATGATAATTGGACGCAATGGTACCCAATTAAGAGAATTTCAAGAACGTTTTAATGTAGAAATTAAAATACCTAATTATTCTACTCGAAAACAACAACAAAATTATCATCAATATCCAGTTTATGATACAAATCAAACCGGAAGTTGGAGTGATGAAATTGAATGTAATGATAATAATATTGAAGAAGCCATTAAAATCACTGGTAAAGCTGAAGATATAAAAGCTGCGAAAAATGAAATTTTGGTAAATAATTGTTTATTTCATTTTTAAACAATCATCATTTAATTTATTCATTTTAAAAATCTAAAATCGATTAAAAATTTTAGTCCAGAATTCGTTATGCTCACACCATTAATATTCCGCGTAAATTTCATAATGCTCTATTGGCAAATGGTACCACTTTTAAAAAACTTCGTAATGATTTTCATGTAATTTTGGATCATGATGAAGTGATTCCAACAGATTCAATTGCAGCAACAACAACAATCAATAACTCATTAAAGAAACAACTGAATGGCAGTGCTTCTTCTATGAAACATAACGTTGATGATAATAATAATAATGACAATGATGATGGTGGATTTGTTAATAATTTTGAATCTAAAAAGTTTTTGGAATATGAAATAATAGAAATCCATAATGATAATGTAACTGGTGGTGGTGATAGTAGTAGCAGTAAAAATAACATTGATGATAGTGACTATGTTGCTTGGAAATTACGTGGTGAAAAAGGTCATGTAGAAAAGGCAGAGGAATATATAAAAAATTTGTTAAATCAAGAGGTAATATTATATTTTACTGATACAAGTATTTTTTAATTTTTTGATTAAAAAAAAAAAATAACTAAACAGTAATAATAATTATTAGAAACAATTCACACATATCGGATACATTCAAATTCCTAAAGAATATCATAGTCATATAATTGGTCGTGGTGGTGGAACTATTACACGTATTCGTAGTGAGAGTGGTTGCAGGATTGATGTACCTAAATCTAAAAATGATAAAGTGGTTGTAGTTACAGGTTCACAAGAAGGTGTAGAAATAGCAAGACAAATAATGTCTGATGTGATTGATCGAGCGGAAAATAGTAATTATTATTAGAATTGTTATTTTTTTGGATTATTTTTTTAATTAAAAAAATATTATTTATATATTTATGAACATTTGACTTCATTATTAATTTAATTTCTTTGTACTTGAAGAAAATTCTTCCCTATTACTTACTACACATTGAACAATTATTATTTATTGTTTTTTTTTATTATTTATTATATATATATATTTAAAGTTTTTAATTAATTTTTTTTAAATTTGCAAGTGTGTATATATCTGATAAAAATTTATTAAACTTCAATCCTTCTAATAAATGAACCTTTTATTATAGAAAAGTTGCAATAACAAAAATATATTCACAATTCTTAATATTAAATTTTCATCAATCATGAAGTAAAATTTTTTATCTGCTTTAATAAAATAATGGTCATCTTTCCATTCACCTCTTTATCTCAAATAGAAGCAATAGATTAAAAGCAGTAGCAATAGTATGAGCATGATATGAAGATTAAATGGTAATAAATATAATTCTTGTTCGCTGTGATCGACGTTACACATTCCATAAAAATCTTTCGATTTTTTCTAAAATTTCTAATTATGATAAAAACAGCATAATGGACATTTATATTTAGGGATGGGGGCAGTTCTGCTCCAAAATTTTTTGCCGAGTCCAATCTGTATAAAGTTTTTAAATTTCTATAAAATAGTTTTTCGTGAACCTCTCTAAAACTTATTAATCAAGACCCCCCATAAAGTAATGACCATATGAAAGCTTAGATTATTTTACACCTCTTCAGTCTTTTAAAGTGATATTGAAAAATAATCCGAGCTTTGAAGTGAAAAAGTAACACCATTTTTGAATAGTCATAGATTTATATAGAGAAGACCTTTTGATATGAAAGAGTATTCATTAAAAATCTTTAATGGGTATTTTCATTTTACTCTAACAACGAAGTTCGAGTTTATTATAAAAATAACAAGGTATTTTAAAAAACTTCATGTGACACGAATTAGAAATTTTTTATTTAGGGTAGAATATACATAACACAAATTTTACTATTACTATGATACAGTGGATAATTTTTTGGCTGCCGATCATTAAAATATTCATGTAGTCATAATAACATTCATTATATAATAGTAATATCAGGGTAGAAAAATATATTTTATTTGTAATATCACCTATTGAAAGCAGGTGATGAGAGAATGAAAATTATAAGTCCAGTAATTAACACTAAACAATAAATGAAAACATTTACTATAACATTGTCCTTTTCTTCCACATCCTTTACATCATTTAGCAAACAAATAAATAAACAGGCTATATTTTGCTGCTCTTTCTCATTTCCTTATTTAAAAATAAATTATAATGTTAACACTTTAATTCTCAATATTATATTAATTATATTAATTTTCTTCACCAAGTAAAATTATAGGAAGCACACACTCCTAGACAAAAGTTTTGGGTAACTTATTTACATTAATAATTATATAAAAATTTATATCAATTTGTAATTTAAAATTTAACCATAATTATTGAACACCTAGATGTACCAGAAGTATGTTTTTAAATTTTTTTATTTAATTACTGTGTATGTGTCAGAGTAATTAACATAAATACAGAAATAGGTGTCTGAAATCTTCTGTCTAGGTGTGTTTAATAAAATGCAATAATTATTTTGTGAAATAATTGACAAAGCATAATTTGATTATTTGTTATTTATTTATCAACATATGTAACGAAGCAAATACCAACACTAATACTAACAGCTAATTCTTCAATTTTTGGATATGTCAATCATAAATATTGGGCCAATCAAAACAAACTTCCATTATGCTCATAGAGTTTGGATTTGGTTTGAAAATGAATAACTGGTTCTTAAAAAAAAAGAGGGTTGAATCTGGTTTCTATTAAATATTAGTATGTAATTCAAAAAAATTATTTTAATTAAAAAACAGATTTAGAAATGTCTGATAATGATGATGACACTAATAGTATTAATAGTAATAATAATGAAATGATTTATGTTGAGAGTAAGTATAATTAATGAATGAGCTTTTAACAATAATTCATACATATCATTCATTCTTTGCTACAGATAATACAGATTCATCTTCAAATATATCTAGAATAAGTAAAAAGAAAGAGAAAATTATAGTTTTACTAATGATTATTTTGAAAGAGCTTTTGATCCTACAACTGGTGAAGAATTGTGCATTTGTAACATTTTGGATAAAAATGGGAAGTGTTGTAAAAAATGTATAAAAGTTTTGGGTATTCTACTGGAAACTTGAAAAGACATTTAGATGAAGTGCATGGTATCAATGAAGTTGAAATAGTTGATTAAAGAAAAAAGGTAAGAATATTTCATATTTAATATTTTTAATTAAATATAGTCTTTTTAACATTTAGTCATAAAGAAAAATAACTGATTATTCACAAACAACTCATAACCACCTTCCATATATATATTCAGAAAAAAAAGAAGAGGCACTGCTTAAATGGACATTGAAAACCAACCAACCTTTGTCTGTTGTTACTAATGAAGCATATATAGAAAAAATGAAAGTTTTTGATCCAGCATTTTCTGGAAAAAGTTACAGTTTTAACAAAGAAGCATTATGTGAAATTTTTCAACAAAGAATTGATTATGTCTCATTAACTACAGACTTCTGGGCTAGTAGAGCCAAGCATGGATACCTTGGTATTACTGCTTCTTTTATTGAAACAGACTTTAGTGTAGTTGACATCATGTTAGATATTAAATATGTTCCTGCAGTTGTAATTGCTGATTCTCTTTATGAAAGTATTTTAGACTGGAATTTGTATCTATAGTGACTGATAATGGTGCCAATATGATTGCCTCCATTCAATTACTTAACCAAAAACCTGGTTGTTATGCCATTAAACATTTACCACACACATTACAATTAGCAATTGGAAAAGGTTTAATGATTGCTAGGTATTGGTTGCTTGTGTAGTGATCATAATCATCATATTCATGGATATTCATTAAGGGGGTTACACTTATCAAAAATCCGAAAATCCCTTAAAATTATGTGTCAATCACTTGATTTTGATAAGTGTAACCACCTTAATGAATATTCATGAATATGATGATTGTGATCACTATGCTTGTGTAAAAAATCATGTATTTTTCCGCAAAAATATCTGCATATTTGCGCAGCATCATGAAAATTTCCAATTTTATTGGTGGGTTGGGTGTGTGTTATCCTTATTTAGAAATTGATTTGGTGATTTGCGGATATTTTTGCGGAAAAATACATGATTATCTTGTGTAAGAAGGATAATTATTTTTTTTTTCAACACAAGAACAAGTAGAGATTAAAAAATGTACAAAAACATTTAGGTTATACAGAAGCCTTGCAATTGGTACAAGATATTTCCACTAGGTGGAACTCCTCATATTATGCATTTGATCATCTTTTCTTTTAAAAGATGCAATTATTCAACTTCAAACAGATTTATGCACATCAACAAATAGAGAAGATAAAAAAGATGGAAATAAGCTTAGAAAAATAATGCTATCAGATGAGGAATGGGATTTAGTTGATGAATTAATAACTTTATTAATGCCTTTTGAGCAAGCCACATGTGAATAATGTCTGTACAATGTAGATGATATGTGCTTGGTTATTATGGGATCAGAATTTATTATGGATGCTATTATAGGTTTGTATCTCATGTCAGTTGGGGGTGTGTATAAGGAAGGGAAAATGAATGGGTTGGTGTGAGGTAAATTTGATATATTGTTTAAAAAATTTGTTTGTGGTTGACAGAATTGAGATTTAAGTATATTGTACCATTTAGGAGGCCTATGAAATTTACTAAAAGGTAACAACATGTTTATTGGGAGAAAGTTTGAGCAATCACATGAAAGTAATTGTTCTAAGAAAAGTATTGAGTGTTTTTTTGAGTAAAGGTATTATCTTGAAATATTGATTTTATATAATGTTTATTAATGGGACATTGCCACCTTTGATGTTAAAAGAGAAGATGACGAAGGTTGGCATGATATATGAAAAGAAATCATTAATGTGACACAGACAGCTGTAATATTTTTGTTGTTGAATTTTGTAGGAAGTGCTTGTGTCATCAATAATGGGCAGAAAGGGATCCATAATGCAGATTGAAGTTGTTTTAGTTGCATATATGTTATTTTACCTACAAGTGATGGATCATTAATATAAACAATGAAGTTTGTAATCATTGATTGACATTGTAGTTACCAATAGTCAAACAGATTGTAAAATTGTGGATGATAAATAGCAGAGTTTGGAAATGCCCAAGATAAACCTAGTTTGTTTTTAAATAGTTTTGTGATAGGGGAAAGTAGTTGTTTACATTCTTTTTTAGAGAAGAAAGTGGTTTGATATCTGTATTCTAGATTAGGTGCAAGGACATGATTTATTATATATTTGATTTGTTCTCCTGTTAAATTTTTGGGGTAAAGTAATGATTTGAAGGTGTTGATTGTATTATGGTGTTTTCATGAACCAGAAGTATTGAACCATACTCCTAGAATTCTAACTGGAGTATTTGTGGGAGTGGAATGAATTGGTATGTTATTGAACATTGCATTTGTTTCATTATCATTTTCTGATGAATTAATGACCATCAATGTTGATTTGTCAGAATTTATTTTAATGGTATTTAATTGGTAGAAAGAAGAAGCAATTGATAGAATTTTGTTCATTTTTTCTTTTGATGGTGCAATCCATGTGGTATCATCCATTGGGGTGTGAGATGCCCTAATTAAATCAAAATTAGGTGATGTAACATAATGCCAATCAATAACAAACTTTTTTAACTTTTTTTAAAAAAAATAAGAATATATGTAAAAACTATATAAATAAAAATTGCATCAGAGCCTTCAAATAAAGAGATACAGACATGAAACTAAGGGAA